GTACCAAAAACAAAAAAACAAAAAAACAAAAAAACAAAAACAACTGCATTTCTCTGTCCTTCAGGGAAATGCAAATGGAAGTAAGACAGAACTAGTCTTTGGGCACTAGACAGACAAAACCACAAGCTGTAGAGAAGTGAATTCTCTCACGCCCTGTAAGTGGGAGAGTGAATTACTGCAAGCCTCTGAGCAGGTAATCTTGCCCTAAATCCTCATGTCTATTTAAAAATAAAGACAGTGCTGGGGATATGGATCAGTGGTAGAGTTTGTGCTTAGCATTCATGATGCCCCAGGACCCAAACATTAAAAACATAAAAATGCTCTGAACCAGCCATTCTATTTCTCCAGGGATCTATTCTATAGTAAGAAAAGCATTTGTATAAAAGGCATAGACTATATCACTGTACTGTTAGTAACAGCAAAACTTGAACACATGCCAAATATCTATCAATGATGGCATCGAATAAATCTGCTATGAACAAGCAACATGTGTATCTACAGACCCGGAAGGAATTTTTTTTTGGTACCGGGGATTGAACTCGGGTCCCTGTGCTTGCAAGGCAGGCGGTTGGAGGGAATTCTTAACACTGAAAGGCTAACACTAATGTAATCCTTGAGCTTGTATGTGTTTGCCTATGTTGGAGCAGACACAGCAGGATTTTTTTTGGTGGGATACTGGAGCTCAAACCAAGAGGCCCCCTACCGCTAAGATACTTTCAGAACCATTTTTGTTTTTATTTTGAGACAGTCTCACTACATTGTCCAGCATGGCCTCCAACGTGCGATCCTCCTAGCAGGATTTTGCATAGTTATATCAAGGGGCTGGGAAGAAAGGACACAGGGATGAGTAATTAACTTTACGTGTTAAAGTGTTTTTTGTTTCATTGGTTACAAGGAGCATGCGTTATTTTTTGTAGTGAAACGATAATAAAAATTGGAGACATGTACACGCACTGCGGAGGTAATCTCCACCATCATTACTAGCATCACGTCCTCTGCTGACCACACTGGCTGACCCTCTTGCCTTGTGAAAAGGATGGTAGGAAAATGTCCCTGTTCTTCCCCTAAGTACCCCCCAGGCCCTGCAGAGCGTGGGCGCTCAAGGGGAGACCTATCCTGAGAATGCTGAGCGGCTAATGCCCAGCCATCTCGGATCTTCGCCACAAGAGGCGCCCAAGAGCAATAAAGGCGAGAGCCTGGGAAAAGAACTCCATGGCTAAAAGTTCTGGCTCTTCTTCCTCGGTCACTCTGTCGCCGTCGAGCCCCCCCCCCCCCGTTTGCCTCAATCCGACACCGACGATGGCCTCAGCGTTTATCACCCTACTGGAGGTGATGGTGGGCTGTTAACTTCAGGACGAAAACTGCTGGACAGAGCTCAGGCCACAGTGATCCTCGAAAGAAATCAGGCAATGGGCCCAATCAAACTGGGCATTGGGCTGATGAACAGTGAGCATTTTTATGTGAGAGAGGGTGGTGGGAGAGGCGAGGGCTGTGCAGGACTGCCAGGCTCATCACACCATGCCGGGAGTGCAACGCGTAGATTCTGAGACCCTTTAGGAAAAGAATGCCGAGCTGAGCTCTATGGATATGGGGGGGTGCTTCTTCCGGGAGGGGAGGGCCTCCTTATCGGAGCTGTGGGTCCAGGGGACAATTCCACTCTGCAACGGTGAGTTTATGCTCCAAGGAGCCCTGTTTCCCAGATTGAGCAAGCCAGGTCCTTCAACTCCCCCTATTGGCTACTACGAAGACTGCAGGAAGCAGGATCATTCAGTGCCACCCGCTGTTTTCCTGAGTTCTCATCCAGCAAGAGCCACGCCCAGGAGAGCTGCCCTGTGTACAGAGAGGACTGGGAGTCCTGAGTAAGGCTGCTAGGACTTGGGCAAGGTGGCGCTCACCTCCACAGCTTCTTCTACCATGAACGGCCAGGGAAACATGGAAACTCTCTTTTGGAAACTGGCTCAGGATGATACCCAGTATTTGAAAGCAGCTGTAGATGTTTAGAATCCAGTCTGGTGGATGAGGTGGTGCTAACTTCCTGTGTCGAATAAGGTAATGCTGTATCCACAAACAACTACAAATGCTATTTGACTCACAGAAGATAGGAACTAGGAGATGCTCTGGAGCAGTGGCTCTCAAAATGGGGTCCTCAGGGGAACATGTGCATCACTAGGCATATTCAGCCAGGTAGACATGGGTGGCTGGTACAGGCCTGTAATCCCAACATTCTGAGAGGCTGAGGCAGGAGGATCACAAGTTCAAGCTCAGCCTGGACACTGTCTCAAATAATAAAAAAGGGCTGGTGTTCAATCTCCAGTACTGGAAAACAAACAAACAAACTCATGCAGCCCTGCTGCATCAGAACTTTGGCCAAGGGAGTCCAAAAATCTGTTGGAAGTTCAGGTTTGAAAAGCCCTGCTCCAGTGAACTCTCTCTAGAATACCTTCATCCAGGTGGGTGTCAGCCAGATTCTGAGTGTGAGCACCTGTGTTAGTGTGTGAGCTGTTGAGAGCATATGCAGATGTGTGCTCTTCTGAGATCAGAGATAGGGTGGTTGATTGACCTAGGAGGGTTGGTTCTACACTCTACAAATTAGACATACACTTTCAGAGTCACAAACCCTGGAAAATCACATGAAACTGAAAACTCCCTCCAAAACAAAAACTAAAACCAAAGGCATACCTTCAAAGCTTTCCTTACAGTTTCGAGAGCCAAATGCCCTGAGCTAAGAACTTCTGATCTGCATTAAATTCTTTCCAACACATTTTTTCTTTTGAGAAAAATGAAAGCAGGAAGAATATTTGCCTGTGCCATTCAATACAGGCAGAAGGTGGCGCTGTAGAGACGGAATAGCAGCACTATGACCCCGCCACTCTAGAAGAGGGAAAGGGGCTGTGGGCCTTGGGTTGCAGAGGAGTGACTTCCCCTTCCCCTGGACTTATGAGGCTGTGTACTACCGATCCTTTTCTTTGCCCTGCAAACCTAGGAGTCCCTGGCGATGCATCAGATCATCACAGAGCCACAGTTCCGCGGTCTGTCTGCTTCCTTGTCCATCCCCATCCTACAGTTGGAAAATGAACGCCTGCGTAGGTACCGCTATCCACACTGCCCTGGGTATGGCTCAGAGCATGAGTGTGGGGGCGGGGCAGTGATGGCCCAACTGTTTACGTTTCCTGGGGCTTATTAGCATAGCTAATAAGGCAGAGCTATTACTGGCTGTTTTCAGGGGAATAATAATGCATTTTTCTGATATGCTCTTCAAGCCAGCCCTGTTAGCCTTAATAAATGTGGGAATTGGGATTTACCATCCTGGATAGATGGCTGTCAGACCCGCAGGGCTGCAGAACAGACTTCTGGGCCCCGGCCCAGCATTTCTGATTCTGCAGTGGAGCCCACAGAATTGTTCTTTCGAACGAGTTCCCAGGTGGTGTTGAAGCTGTTGGTCTTGTATTGTCAGGGAGTTAGTAGAAAAAAGTGGATAGACCTGGGTTTAACACAAGAATCTTCATTATGTGGTTCAAAACAGCTAGAGAAAAACTTTGAGAGATGATACTTGAAGGGTTGGGAATACTATACCAATTAGACTACTGAACAATAGTATACATACATGTATTAAATTGTAATGCTCTATGCAATAATTAAGTACAAATATATCAATTTTTTAAACCAATTTGGCAAATCAAATGTTCATCATAGAACAGAATTATCTTTTTCTTTGTCTTTTATCGGCTTTTTGAGACAGGGTCTCACTATGAAGTTCAGGCTGAACTTGAACTCACTATGTAGTCCAGGATGGCCTCAAATTCCTGGCAATTCTCCTGCCTCAGCCTCCAAAGTGCTGGGATTACAGGTGTGCGCCACCACACCCAGCTTCCTAGCATGGTTTCTTTAACAGAGCTGGCTCAGGTTTTGACAGGCCGGTATCTGGTCACGCTAACACTCATGCATTCATTCATCTCGTTGATTTACTCATTCTTTGAGTACACATATACCGAGCGCCTACTATGGCCAGGGTGCCTGAATGGATGCAGTGCGGAGAGCAGGAAAAGGCTCAGGGTCCAGGGGCAGGGAGAGGCATCTGGGAGAAGGTGACCTCTCAGCACCAGGACGAGCGAAAGGGGAGTGAGGACTGCCAGTCTAGGAGGCAGAGGGAAAGTATGTGCTAAGGCTCAGAGGGGTCGCGGCTGGCAGCTCCCTCCAGAGCCCGGGTGGGTTTGCAACTGGGAAAGGGCCAGAGAGAAGAGTGAGCAGAAAGGTCTGCAGGAGCCATCACAGAGAAGGCAGACGGGATGTGAAGGGGAGCAGGTCCTGATGGCTACGGGTGGTAAGAAAATGAGTGGGCACAGGCAGGGACCCCGGGCCAGCACCCTAACAAGACAGCAGGAGGGCACGAGAGCTGAGGGAACCCGGGCCCTGGTGGAGTGGGGTCCAGGACGAGGCATTGAGGCAGCACCCAAGTTTCCAGTTTGCTCTTCTGGGGTGAGGAGGAAGCTGGAGGAGAGCAGTGACCCACTATCTCTGTGGGACCCTATAGGACTCTGTAGTCCCCCAGCCCAAGACTCAAAGTACTGCCAGAGTCTGCCAGTTCCAGGGGCTGGTAGTCAGTGTCCCTCTATGACCCCACTCCACTGCCCACCCTGTGGCTGGTCTGACAATGAGATGGTCCAGAGGCCTTTGGAAACCACCAGCCCTGGAGAGGTGTTAGCTGGTGCTGACTGGATGCTGCCTCCTGCTCCCCACTGGGAGTCGAAGGTAGAGAGAGCCCAGCCTCTGAGGCCACCAGGCGCCTCCGTTCCACGCTGAAGATGCAAGGTACAGTGGCCGAAGGGGAAGGGGAAACCTGGGGTGCTAGAGACATAGAAAGAGGAGGGTATAGGAGTGGGTGACAGGTGAGAAAGACTAGGGCAGGCCTCCAGGTCACCCAGGGGCAGGGCAGTTTAGAGTAAACCCAGGGGAGCTCTGGGGGTTGGCTTGGGACCTGGAAAGAAGCAGAGGAGTCTTACCTTGACCTGGTCCAGCACCACCAGGGGCCCATTGACACTGCACACGGTCCTGTAGGCTTGGGGAGGGGAAGGAAGGGCGTCAGAGTCTCACCCCACACCTTCACCTGTGAAAATTCTGCTCTAGGACGGACACAGAGGGACACACACACACACACACACACACACACACACAGAGGCATCCTTTCTCTGACTTCTCTCCCTCTACACAGCCCCCAGCTCCTCTCTACCCTTAGCCATCAGGGTCATTAGCTGTGACAGGGCCAGCCACCATTGCTGTAAGGGTCATGCCCTGGCCCACAGGGCCCCTGCTGCCTGGGACACCTGCAGGAGGCTGGGGGAGGGCTGGTGCTGGTGAGGGAAGAGGCCTCCTCAGAGCCCCCCCCCCACCGTTGGTGAATTCCCTTCTCTTCACCATGCTGCTTTCCCACTGGCCTCAATTCCCACCTCATGCACCCTCCAAGGCCTTTGGCCACCAGCTGTGGCCCAGAAGTGCCCTCCTCTACCCCTCCCCAGGCCCACATTTCCTTCCATTAACCCCACACTGATTGAGCATTGTGGGTGGAAAGAAGGGGCTGTGCTGGCTTGCCTGAGAGAAACCAAACAGGGCCTGCTCTCCCCACCAGGCCCAGGCAGGGTCCCATCAGGGAGGATCCTGGCTTCCCCGGCTAACTGGGAGCTGGTGTGGGGGGGTGAGGAGTACACAAGAAGCAGGAAGAAATGTTCACGGACCTAATGGTTAGAGAGACCCACAGACAGTTCCCCAGGTGGGACTACATTAGCTTTGCTAGCCCCAACAGAAGAAGCTATGGACTGGTAGCCAGGAAGCCTGGTTTTGGCTTTGCTAGGGACCTTGGATGGTCCTTGCCCACAGCAGTGAGGTACCATAACCTTTCTGAGTTCTTTTGTGTTACTCCTTAACACCACACTTGAGATGAAGGAACTTGGCAAGGTAAGATGGGCAGGTGCTAGGTCACTCAAGCTGGCAGACCTCAGAGGGAAGACAGGGAGACAGGGCTCTGAAACGGAAAGCTTACCCAGATGTCATGGCAGAGCCAGGGCTGGGGCCCTCCCTTGTACTTCTCATGAGACCACTCTGGCTCCTGGTGTGGCCTTACTCTAGCTTCTGACCATGCCTGGTCCCAAGCTGCCCAGTGCCAAAGAAAAATCAAAGGCTCTTTGCCCAAGTCTCCTCGGTCTGGGCTTCTGTGGTCAAACCCCTTGTTTTTGTCTGATCTAAGTTTTTTTCACCAGGACAGGGCCCAGGCAGACTGAGCCGGCAAGGTATTTTTACACAGATCTCTGCAAAGGGCCTCTAAGTATAAAGACTGTTTGAAACACTTCGGGCCTTAAGGAGAACACGAGAAGATCAGTTCTGCTGGTCTTTGGTGCTCTCTCAGTTCCCTGCCTTCAATCTACCTTCAACCCCTCTACCCCAGCTACCCTTTTTCCTTCCTCCCTATCCGGTGAAGGAGGTTCTACCTTCTATCTTAGGTGGGCCTTTTCCCCTGCATGCAGATCCAGGGCCTAGAGATGAATGAATCCTCCTGGGGTGAAGGGCCAGGGCCCACCAGCCCTGTGCTCTTTCCAGCAAGCAAGCCCTGGTATCTCCGTCTTTAAAAACACTCCTTAAGCCCCACTCCTTCTCCAAGACCTGCTCTTATGAGCATATTCTCCATTGATTTTCTCTTTCCCACCTTCCACCCACTCCTCCTCCCTCTCCACTCTGGCTTCTGGGGCCTGCCTTCTCTGGAGGCCAGCAGGAGCCTTTGGACTGCTACATCCAGCAGTGACTCAGCACATTCCACTGAAGGTGGGGGGCTCTCTCCTCTTTGGGGAGGTCCTGCCCTGTCCCTTGCCCCACCTCCAGGCCACCCCTAAGCTCCTGGGAAGGCAGCTTGGCTCCTGCTTTCCCACTCCCCTTTCCCTGAGTGACCGGCTTCCTTCCTTCCTTCCTCCCTTACTTTCTTCAAGCACACACACACACACACACACACACACACACACACACACACACCCGTGGTGGGGCTTGAACCCAAGGCCTTGCACATGCTGGGCAAGTGCTCCACCACTGAACTATAACCTCAGGACTATCTACACTTTTATTCTGAGACAGGGTCTTGGTATGTTCCTCTGGCTGGGCTTGAACTTGTTATCCTCCTGCCCCAGTCTTCCAATGGCTGGGTCTGCAGGAATGAGTGACCACATTTGTCATGTGTATTGGATGCCTTCTTTGTACTAGGTGAATAAAAGTGGCAAATAAAACATGGAGCCTGCAATCTAAAATGAAGGATAGAGAGAAATTAGAATTCCAAACTGTAGTAGGTGCTAAGAAGAGAAAGAACAGGATGAGTGAGTGAGATGGGCCAAGAGGCCAGACTGGGTGCTTAGGGCAGGGAGCACCTTGCCAGAAGGCCCCTCCCTCCATCACTTTCTTTCTTCTCCCTGTCTACTTTTTCTTCTCCTCCTCCTCCTCCTTCTTCTTCCCCTTCTTCTTCTACCTCTCCTTCTCTTTTTCCTTCTCCTTCTCCTCCTCCTCTTTCCTCTCCCCCCACCTCCTTTGTCTTTGTCTTTTTCTTATTCTTTTCACTCTACTGGGAATTGAACCTAGGGCCTCACAGTAAGCTATATTCCCAGCCCCTTTTAAATGCATTTTTTTTTTTTTTGAGTTTTGAGACAAAGTCTTGCTAAGAAGTTGCCAGGCTGGGCTCAAACTTGTGATTCTCTTGCCTCATCCTCCCAGGATGCTGGCATTACAGGCATGCGCCATAGTGCCTGGCTGTGAAGGGCCTTTGGAGCCAGCCCCAAGCACCAACTGATGCTATCCAGCCAGCCCCCTGGGGGTGGGGAAAGGGCACTTGTAGCTGTGGTGAGCAGCTCAGAGGTGGGAAAGTGCCGCTCCCTCCCTCCCTGAGGGCCCTGGGAGAACAGAGGAGGGCACTGCAGTGGTGAGCACCAGCTGGCTTCTGGGTTCAGGGAGACTGACTGATGGACTCCAGGAGGGCAGCAGTGTCCTCTGTCTGCAGGATAAGGCAGACACTCCACAAGCATTTAGTGGATGAATCCTGGGAAGCATTTACTGGTTCCTCCAGCTCACCCCCATGTCCCTCATCAGAACCAGATTGTGCCCCCACTTTCCAGCCCCCAAACCAAAAGAGGGTCCTATTGCCTGGCTTGAGGGGTCACACCCCTAGCTCCTGCCTGCTTCTCCGAAGACAAGGTGGAAAAGATTAGAAAGAGGCTGTCTAATGCTGGGGTGGTGCAGGCATAGAGTCCCCCACCCAAAGAGGGAGGGGAGGCTGCAGAGGCCTGGGCATCACCCTCTCCAGCAGGAAACAAAAATTGTCCTACAGCCACACACTGTCTCCTGTCCACATAGTGCTGTGATTGTTAGGGTTAGGGCTGGGGAAAGCAGTACAGCCAGTGAGCCCAGGACTTAGAGGAGGAATGTATTATGCCTCCAGGGACAGGTTGGGCCTCAGGAGAGGCCGCAGGTGTAAAAGCTGTGTGGAAAAGCTGGCATCTTGCTGTTCCGTAGAGAGAAACGCCAGACCACCAAAGGGCTGAGATAGGGGAGGAAGCAGCGAACCTGGGGTGAAGAGAGACAGGGTGGGTGGTCTTGAAGAGAGGGCGGTGGGGGGGCTGGGAAAGCTGCAGGGAACCATTTCCAATCCCACCTCCTCCCCCCACTTCACAGCTTCTGTCACGCGGAAGCCCCATTAACTGCGACGTCCAGCAACTCTACCTGGGGAGAGGGGAACGGGACGACGGCGGTGGAGGGTGCGGATTAGTGAATGCGTTGCTCCGGAAGGAGGGGGGCTGCGGCGAACTGGCCTGCCAGCCCTCTGCCCTCTGGGCGCCGGCTTCTTTATTCTCTGAGGTCCAGGCTGATGGTTGTCCCTGCCCAGCCCACACGGGGACCACGCAGACGAGGTCTCTAAGTCCCGAGCCTTAGTGTACCAGCCTCTTTTAGGCCCTGCCTTCCCCTGCCTTAGTGCTTGGCTCTAGGTGGGATTCGTAGACAACATCACTCCCCAGCCTTCAGTCTTCTCCGCAGAAAGCACACTCGTGTGCCTGTTCCTGGTTAACACTGGACTTCTCACAGCCTTCAAAGCCTTGTCTGCACCCTTGGGTCCTGCAGAATGATATCCCAGAGGAACTGTGTCTCTCCTCTGAAACTAGACCAGATCTTTCCTTAGAGCTGTCCAGTTTGAACACTGGCAAAGTAGTGGCTAAGTAGCAAAAATGCCCTTGACTGGCAGTCAGACCTTTGGTTTGCACGCACCCCAGACTCTGACTGTGTTTGTTGCATAGAGAGGCAAACTGAAGCCCAGAAATTCTGCTGACTTTTCCCAAGCCACGCCACAGTTCGGGACAGCATCTTGTAGTACTCAGGGATTATGGCCATCCCCCAGCCCTGGAGGTCCTCCTTGACCCTGGAGGAGAAGGGGGTACTGAGCTGCCAGCAGAAGGCTGGCTCAGATGACCTGCGGGGCACTCCCTCAATCCCCCCCACCATGCTCGTCACCCCTTTCCCTTGTCCTAGCTGACACTAGGCTGCACTTTGGACTGGAGGCCAGTGGACCGCCTCCCTGCCCCCACCTCCCCGCTGCCTTCCCTGTCAAAGGCTCAGCAGGGTCCCAAACAGCACTCTAATTAGCGCCGGCCCGGCCACACCTGCAGCGTCCCTGGAGGGGCTGAGGGGCCGCCCTCCTGGGAGGCCTGGGTCGGGGCAAGCTCAGGGCAGCGGTCAGAACCTCCCAGCTGGGGAAATTAGGAGAGGGAGGGCAGGAGCTGGAAGCGGGGCTTCTTAGAATCGCCTTTCATCGGAGGAAACTGAGGCTGGGTGGCAAGCCAGTGCTTTGGCACTCAGGCTCCTGGGTGATCTCACCTGACTCCATCGCTCCAAATCGGCTGTCTCCTTATCCTCTGGACATTTGCCAAGGCCATGCCCACTCCCCAGCCTGGTATTTTTTGCCCAAGCAACCCTATGAATCTCCATGCCAGTCCTCCCCACCAAGCACTTGGGGAGCAATTCTAGCTCTGGGAGAGGCAGGAGAAGGGGTCCTTCTTTCCAGGGTGAACCTCACTGGTGTTCATCTTCATCCTGACTCTACCCTGCTCCTCCTTTCTGTACAATTCTTTTTGCCACTGCAATGACAACATCAACTTTCTGGCCTCCATTGTGTTGGCTTTTCTCTCCTCTAGGAAGGGAAGAAAGATCTTCCCAAGCTGTGCTGGGCTCATCTCCTATGGCCAAGACAGTCCTGGGCTTGGGCCCTCTGGTCTAGAACTCTGCCTCTAGAGTTGGCCAGCGTCCCAGGGTAGGAGGTGAGTCTCGGGAAGGAGGCCAGAGAGGGACAAGCACTAGTCTGCCTTCCAGCCTATGGAGGGTTAGCAACTGGAGAGAGAGTATATCCGGATCTTCCCTGTTTCTGTGCCTGTCTGCATCCCCAAGACAGAAACACCCCTCAGTCACTTTAGGTCAGAGGGGAATGGGAGACATGGGGTGAGAGGGAGGCTGGCCCCCTGGTATAGCCTCTGAGGACACTGGCTTGTGCAGCAAAGTGAAGGCATTGGACCCCTGCACCAGCCTCGGCTCTGGGTCAGCTGCAGGATGTGAACTTGCTGGCCAGGTTGGGGGACACATGCAGCCATCATGTGGCCTGCAAACCTGGGGGCACTGTCACTTCTGGGTTCCAGCCTGGCTCGGAACCTGTCAGGTGTTGACTGTAAATAAGGAGCTGGCTGGGAGAGAACTGGCTAGAAGCTGCTCCAGGCCTGCACAGTCCTGCCTGGGGAAGGCAGGTGGGGTGAGGCTGTACCTGGAGGATACCTTCCAGGGTATATTCCCAAAAAGGAAAACAGAACCTGTAGGTCCAGACCCCACACCCTGCCCAAAAGTAACCTCTCCCGTACTCACAGGTGGGGCGGGGCTGGCCTGCACAGGTGAGTTACTGCATGGGAAGAGTCTGACTCCCCACTCAGGCTCCAGTCCTGGGCTCTGGACCCACTGGGGCCGGGTCACAGCTTATTTACAGTCCTTGGCAACTCCAGCTTTGGGCTGGGGGAATCTGAGCTCCTATCCTCCTCCCACCTCCACAGACAGGACCTGCAGGGCCTCCTTGGGAAACCTGACCCCACTCCACTCGCTCCATTTCTCCTTAGCTGGTCTGCACTCCACCCAGCACCTGTCTCAGGCCTCAGCAGGTGCCTCACACTCCATAGCCGGAGGCTCTGCTCCCTGAAGTGAGTTCACTGTTGCCCTCATCAGCAATTGAGTGGCACTGGGTAGCTGCCCAGGGAGGGAGGGAGGGAGAAGAGGTGGCTGCATCGAGCTCCTTTCCCTCTCCCACATGGCCTGTAAGGAGCCTCTGGTTCTGCTTAGCTGGGGCTGGCCAGGCTGGTTTATTCCCACAAGCTGAGCTATCTGAGAATCTGTTATGCCAGGGAGAATGACCTTGGACAGGGAGACGGGGGTCCCTTTGATCCTCTGCACCTCAGCAGGTTTTCTACCCAGGCCCTGGTGTGTGGCCCACCCCTGCAGGGCAGGCACAGGAGGCCCTGGGAAGCTTACAAGGAAACACCCCAGCATCCCTGGGCATGTACATGCTCCCGTGCCCAACACTGCCTTACCCTAACTGTACACAGTGCCACACTCAGACATGACATGTCCAGCCAGGAGTTCACATGTGCTCCCCTCGAAGAACATACACACATATCACACGTGAGCACATACCAATTTTCACTGTGTTCAGGCTTCCTCCCCTTCAATGAATTCTCCCGGCTCAGCCCTTAGGTGCTTCTGTACAGACACTCCGGCCTAGAAGGCCCACTCAGTGTGCATCATTAACACCAGTCACCTATTTCCTCAAGCTGAGAATGCTCACATATTCTACATTGCCACACCCGTCATTCCAAGTCTACTTTATCATACAGTGGCTTGCTGGGTGGTGCGCGTTACACACACACACACACACACACACACACACACACACACACACACACGCATGTTCCCATGGGAGCATGGATACATCTGTGATCTCTGGCTCTCAGGGGCAGTCGGAGCACTCTTGGATCTTCGTATCTGAAGTAGAATCAGGGTGAAGACAGCTACTCCCCAGCCCTCTCCTGTGGGTCAGCCTGGGCTGGGCCCTTCACCCCTCCACCTTCACAGGTGACCCCTTAAACAGACTGTCCCAGCTGTGACGCTCCCATTGGACAGAGAGCTCCCGCGTCCCTAGGTCTGGTCTTCCTTTTCTCCTGAGGCAAGAAGCAAGGCTGAGGGACCTCAGAGCCCATGCCCGCAGCTCACCACGGCTGCCCACCCTGCCTCACCCGCTGCGGGCTCATACTCACTGATTCGGGGGTGGGTGATGTAGTTTCGGGTGACTGCCTGCACGTGTTCTCGGGCTGTCCCTGGGTCACAGCCACTGCTGGGGAGCCCCCCGGGCCTGTTGTCTACCTTCATAGCCATGGTGCGTGGCGGCAGGAGTTGGTGCCCGAGAAAGCTGGTGGCTTCTGGAAGACTTCAGGCCCAGCTGGAGCTGGAACACACTGCCCAGCCCGAGCCTGCGGCCACCCCTCCCCTTCCTCCCCTCTCCTCCCACTCCCTTTCCACTCCTCCCCCAGGCTGATGATAAACAGGGAAGCTGGCTCAGCTCTGCAGCTTGCCCCACAGGAAGGGTGTGCAGACCTGGGAGGCAGCTGGCTACCTGGGAGCTGGGGGGTGGTGAGGGAGAAGGGCAGAGCAGGAATGCAGCTTCTCTGACCTCTGTGCTTGGCTGTCCCTCTGCCCACAGTACACGAGTGCCAATCCTTCTCAACAGTCCCACACCCCTCCATCTTCCTGGTTTCCCTCTCCTTGCTTGTCTCCCACTCTGCACCTACCCTACACGATACTGCGCACCTTGCCTACACAATACGATCACTGGCTTTTCCCACCATCTATAGCGGATTCTGTCCTGGTCAGTATGGCTGCTACCGCCTACAGAAGCTTTCCAGGATTCCCCAGCACCTATCTTAGGACAAGTCTCTCATGTTTCTGCCACTGGTGTGAATACCAAGCTGAGTCTGTGTCTCTTCCATCAGACCAGGGTCTTCTTACACATACCTTGAGCTACTGAGAATCTCCTGAGAAGCAGGGCTGGTTTCTTAGTTTGACCCTTGGGCCTTGGCATTCACAGCCCACATCAGAGTACAACAGAGGCCTATATATTGTATATCTAAATATTTGGAATTACAGATCGAATTATGCCCCCAGTGCTATTTCACATAGGGCTCACAGCTACTTCCCAGGAACCCCGTCATGCCAAAGCAGCCATACTTCCCCCAGGGCTGGCAGAGCAGAGCAGAGCAGAGAGGAACCACAGTTGGCAAAGCAGAATGGACGCAGAGGTGGCTGGATGGCCCCAACCCAAGCTCACCTGGGCACCCCCACGTCTCATTCCAGACTCTGCGTTTCCCACATTGTAAGCACTTACCCAGAAGCTATCACCTGAGAAGAGGGAAGGGCCAGGTGCTATTGTGGGGATCCCCACCTTGCAGCACCCCATTCCAGGTGGCTTGAGCAAGGCGGCCAATTTGAAACTGTGTTCCCCAGGGCAGCCTGCAACAGACTGCTTGTTTTTCCTTCCCTAATGGTCCAACCCGCAACCTGCATCCTGTGGCTGAGGACTCATTTCAGGTCTCTGGTTCCTTGAACACAATTCCCATTTTATCAAAGAATTCTGTGGGGGCGCAGCAGTGGGTATGACTAGAAGGGGCAGCGTGACTGTGATCTTTGTGGTGATGGAACTGTTCTGCACCGTGTTGTGGTTCTACACTCTACACAGGTGATAAAATGACACAGCTAAACACACAATAGCCATGTCAACTTCCTGGTTTGATATTATACTAGTTTTGGAAGATACAACCATTGGGGAAAATCGGGTGAAGAGACTGCTCTGCCCTACCTGTACATCTTTTCATAAATCTACAATAATTGTAGAACAAAAGCTAAATGAAAATACCTTGGGCAAAAAAGCTTTTTAGAAAGTGCTTCCTACGGCTGTGTTCACTGAGGACAGGCCCTCTCCAGACACTGGGGCTGGCCTGGGCTTACCTGGAATGCCCTTCTTCCTCTCTTCAGTCCTGGTCTCACCTTGCACCATTCATTCCCTTGAAGGGCTTGCTGTTTTCCCCTCTCAAATATTTTTTGGTTTGAAAGAAGCTTGCAAGAAAGCACTGATATTGGTATTGGGGCTTGGAGTGCCCGGCTGGAAGCCCACTTAGGAGTGGGAATCGGGGACCTGCTGGGCCACACATGTAGATGCCCTGTCCTCCCTGTGGCCTCATTTTCAACCGTGTCCTATTTGAGGCCTTCATCGCTCTGAAGCCATTTTTCTTTGCAGTAAGGACAGGAATAGAAGGGAATGAGGTGGTGCTGCAGGGACTGTTTCCCTTCTTGTCATTGTTTTCCTTTATTTCAGTGAGAGATGTACAACACACACACACACACACACACACACACACACACACTGCACTCACATACATGTTTTCTTTTTTCAGTGAGAGAGGTACAACACACACACACACACACACACACACACACACACACACTGCACTCACATACACAAGCTGTAGGACCAAGGCCATTCAGTTGAGTCTCGAGCTGAGGACAGGTGGGGAGGGGGCTGCTGCTGCTGCTTTCCTTGAAGGACCTGCTCGGTGCAGTCCTCTGGGGCCAGGAGCCTGGGGTGGTGCTGTGCTGAGGACTCAGAGTCTCATAGGGGTGGGAGTCTTATGTGTTAGCTTTCTTACCACCACCACCAGGACTGCCTGCTTTCCTTTCTAGCCTGCTGTAGGGCTCAAAGGCTGAGGAGCCCAGTTCGTAGCCAGCAGGCCGGTCCAGAAGCAGGGCTGTGGAAAAGCAGACCGCTGGCAGAGGAGGTGGCAGCGGTGGTGACACAGAAGCTGAGGGCAGAGGGTTGAGGCATGGAGAAGAGTTCCTAGGGTCACCCAAGGAGGTACCCCTGTGGCCAGCAGGCAGTTCTGGCAGACCCGGGGTCAGCGCCAGGATGCTGGGCGCCCTGGGCACGGAGAGCAGCCGGCCCTGCTCCAGCAGCCACAGAATGTTGGAAGCGGCAAAGGCCTTGGAGGCGGAGGAGGATGCCCGCTTCTCTAGGTCTCTGCTCTGGTCTTTCTTCTGCTTGGTGCGGCGGTTCTGGAACCAGACCTTCACCTTGGGGCAGAGGGTGAGGAAGGGGTGTCAGGAGGGAAGAGAAGCCAAGCAAATCAAAGCAGGGCAGGTGGAAGGAGAAAAGGAGAAGTGTGTGGGGCCAGGGCAAAGGTGGTGGATGGGGGCAAAGGGGAGGGGCAGGGGCACAAGGGAGGGGGGCAGAGAGAGACAGAGAGAGGGAAGGCGGGAGGGAGAGAGAGAAATTGTCATTAACTTGTCATTCCCACAACCAGCCTGCTCTGGGTGATCTGATTATTGATCCACCCCTTCACTGCTAAAATCCAGGCTGGCCTAGAGTGGAGGAGTGGGTTGGTGGATGGAGGTGGAGTTTGGGGCTACAGTTGAAGCACTGAAGTTCCCTTGTTGGCCTCTGCACTCCACTCTTAGCCAACTTAGTGGACTTAGCCACTATTTATGTGCTGGTAATTCCCAGCTTGGCCTCAGGCCCAAGTCTCTGAACTGAGGTTCAAGCCGGGTATCCAAGTGCCCATGAGAATCACCCCAGGATGTCCCAAAAGGGCCCCAAACTCCATCCTGGCAGACACAGAGCTCAGGCTACCTCTTCCAAACAGCAGCCTCTCTCACATTCCATCTTCCATCTTGGCTATCTCCATCCACCCAAGTAGAAACGTAGGGTGGTGGGCACAAGCCCCTTCCCACTCTTCGTGCAGACTCTCCTCTTCCCTGTCCTTTCTGACCTGGAGGTGAGAGCTGTCTCTACAGTGGCACCATCAGAGCCACATGAGGAATTTGTTTAAAGCTAACTCACTACTGACCTCACCCAACCAGCTCCAAATGGAAGTGGCAGGACCCAGGCCCTAATGATCTTACAGCTCACCAGGTGACCTAATGTGACAAAACCAGTGCTCTAAAGGTCTCTGTCTCAGGTCCAAACCCTAACACTTCAGGGCAAGAGTCATAATAGAAGCCTCTGGCAAGGGCCTGCCCTGGCTCTGATGCACATGTATGGGCACCCCCACCTGCTCACAAAGCACAAATGACCCCTCATGGGTATTTCCTGGGGTTCTTAACAATGCTTGTGTTTGATGTTATTTGGGAGGACTGACTCAAAAGAGGCTGAAGAAAGCACTGGAAATTTCACTTGGCAGGAAATTCTGGAATCCTTGTCACCTGGGAGGTGGGTTAGAGGGTGGGCATGGGCCCCTGGCGGGCATGACTTTTTGGCTTCATAGAACCCCCACCCTGTATGAAGGGACCTGGCCAGGAAAGGCCAAAGTGGGACCCGCTGAGACATGGGGCATAAGGAAGGGGCCAGATGCCTAGTCAGAGAGCAGTTTTATCACTGCCTCCAGCCTTGGCCCAAATGCTATGGTGAGAGATTTTCCTAACCAGCCTAGTCTTTCACCATTTCAGTGGCTCCTCCCTCTTCCCCATTCCCTGTAAAAGACCAAGTTTCTCAACACAATACCAAGTGGGACAAGATGTAGCATAATGTTGAGGGGCCTTCTGATAGTCACTCAAAGCTGAGGACAAAGAAGTACGAAGTACCCCACTTTTTCTAAAGAGACCCACACAAAAAAGGGCAGAGATCCCTTGGAGTCTCGAAAGGTGGTAGGTACACCTTGCTCTGCCACCACAGCCCAGCACCCCAGCTCCTTCCTGGTCTTCATGAAAAAAGGGAGACTAGGGCCAGGGATTTAGCTCAATGGTGCCACCACCTGCCTTGAAAACACAAGGTCCTGAGTTCAAACCCTGGTACCAATAAATAAATAAATAAATAAATAAATAAATAAATAAATGCAAAAAGAGACTGGTAGTGGACAGCTCCCTAGGGACTGCAAACCTGGGGCAATAAGAGATTCCTCTGTCTCTGAGAGGAAGGGAGCACTTCTCCCAACAGAAGGTAAGTCAGAGGCTCAGAAAATATCACTTGTAGGCCCTGGAAAGGCCTTGGGGAAGGAGACAGGCATTCGCCTACCAGGTGGCAAATGGATCAGATTATCACCTCACTGCTGCCAACACTGAAGTTCCTTGACCCATGTCTTAGGGGCTTCTTGCCCAAGCTGGGGCAGCACAGGCCAGTGGGAAGAGGGCCCCAGAGAGAAAAGTATAGGGAGGGCTTGCTTGTCCCCTCAGTCTTCGGAGGACCTTGAAGGTTCAGCCACTCTGGTGGCACAGAAGTCATGGTTCCTGCCCTTGGGAAGGAGAGGGTTTCGTAAGGAGGGCACCAACCCACTCCCAACAAATGACATTTAGGTACAAGGGAGTGGCAGTGACAAGGGATGTGACTAATGCAGAATGACAAAGCATGTAGAAAGTGCTGTTCCTCAAAATACCCTTCCTTTGTGCAGCTGTGGGTGTAGCTAGGGGAGGTGGATGTGGCTGTAACTGGGTTTGGCAATCTCCAGGGCAGGTGGTCCTTAGAAAGGGAGAGAAGGCAGAGGGCAAGTGGAACAGGGCTTAGACCTGGTATGTCATCTATTGCTGTTTGAGCGTTAGCCAAGGATTCTCAACCCTGGCTGTGCACTGGAATGACCTGGGGGCATTCTTCTAAATCCTGATGTCCAGGTCCCACCTGATGTCCAGGAACCCATTTGATCAGAATTGCTCGAGGGTGGGCTGAGACACTGGGATTGTTTAGAAGGCTCAGTGGGTAGGTCCAATACACTGTGGCTGTTGCCAGCTTCCAGGGTGGGAGAGTCCTAACTTAGAGCACCTCCACAACCCCTTAAGACACAGAGCAAGCCAGCCAACAGAAAAGACATTAGACCTGCCTCTCTACTTCCCATCACAAATTCCATGGTCCCTAGGGGCTGGTTCATTAGGCTAAGCAAACATGAGACAAACTGATGTCATCAGGGCTCAGAAAGCTGACCTTTCTCCTCTAGGGAGCCTTTAGTTTTGCCTGAATGCAAAGTTAACAGCCCTTTAAGGCTCTATCCAGTCACTCTTCCAGGAAGCCACTCCTGGCTGACTCCAAAAAGTGACAGGGCCACAGTCCTGTCCTGAAGTATAGTGCACTTCTGGGGTGTTACTCTGCCTTCACTTTTTGAGTGCTCTGTGATGGCTTCTCTTCAGAATGCCATCTTAGCTACTTGGAATTCAGTGAGCGCTTGGTGGCTTCACATTCTGATCCCTTTCTGGACCACACTGTGGCCAAGGCTGCATACTAGAGGAGGGGCGTGGTTTTGAGGACTGGGGAGATTATCTGTCATGTATTTTGGGCTTATGATCAGTGTTCGATTCAAAGACTCACTGTGGAAATGGCATTAATCTTGTAAAGACTGCTTCCTGTGACCATGGGAACATATGAATCTGAGATCAACGGTACTTGAGTATTTATGATGGCTTTGAGCTTTGTAAGCTGCATTATTCTATTCTACTGTTCTGGTTCATTCACACAACACACAGGTGTGTCATGTATTTGGTACATACTGGGCATTACTAGGTGCTGGAAAACAAAAATAAATAAAACTCCATCTTGATGCACTGGGCTCTCAGATACTAGTGGGGGACGTGGGTAGGTCAGCAAGCACTATAGGGTGTTTTCATAGAAGTAGCAAAGAATATAGTGAGAAGATCCCAAGGTCAGGCAGCCCTGGATTCAATCCTGGCTCTTTCTCTGACTAACTAGACAACACTGGACAAGTTTCTTAACCTCTTGGTGTTTCTGTTTCCCAACCAGTAAAATGGTGGGGTTCATATTAATGCCTCCTAAGAGATCTACTGTGATGGCTCCAGGAGGAGATAATCATGTAAAATGTCTGGCAGGAAGTGAAGTCTGCCACGATGGCTAGTTAGATTTGGCCATTTCACCAGCATCAAGTGATTTTTCAGACATTTCTGAGCATTAGCTTCACCTGGATGGAAAAAATATATAGATTCTCTAGACATTTTATCAGGAATCCCTGGATTGAAGTAACGCAGTCATCTATCTGTTTTTATCATGAACCCAGGGGAGTTCCATGACACATACCTGAGACACATTGCTTTAACCCAACACCCAACCCCCCCTTTTAAACAAAGCATGGTGACAAAGTGTATCAAGAGGTTTCTAAAATCAGATTTCCAAAATCAAGTGAACCTGTTCCTGTTCTCCGACATTTTTTTCTGAGAGGAGCATTCAGTACATGCTCCCCAGTGGGTGTGGGGGTGGTGAGGACTGGGTGGAGGAAGCCCCTAAGAGAATCCTCCTGTTCTTGGTGCCCTCCTCTACTGCATAGCCATGTGGCCTGGGCAAGTTCAGCGCAGAAGTCAGCTCATGCTGACACTTGGCAAACAGGGGCTGCACCTTCAGTGGAGCACAGAGAGAAGGTCTGAGAATACCCTCGTGTTGAGCCCTGAGCTCCAAAAGAACTGTGCACTTTCATACTCTCTTGAGCCTGGCTGCACAGTGGTTCCTCTTGAATTTACACAAAATCAGGCCTTTTTTTTTTTTTTTTTTTTTTTTTTTTTT